GTGTGGTGCTGAGGCAGCCTGCGCTCACCGTCGCACGGGCAAACACGCTCCAGCCTTTGCTGGCCTTGTTACGCAGCGCCTTGCTGCTGACCTCCGCCCCCCAAAGGTAGAATAATTTTCCAAATTAATAGACTGTGTGACAGTCAGATGTGCCTGCGACCGATAAAACTGATTGAAGGGCGTTCGAGATCATTGCTGAGGCGTGGCGGCACGCCTTGGACGCGGTAATGATGATCTAGTACTTTCTTTGCCTAATTCTGTAAGGAAATTTGGCCTGCATGGCTGTGTGCTTCGTCTGTCTGCCAGTTCTCATCCTGGCTGGCTTTAAATGGTTTAACCGGTTTTAACTAAGTTTGACCCGAGGACAGAGTTTTCAAAGGTACTGATTGTTCCAGCTGTGTAAAAATGGAGCTGGCCAGGCGGAGGGCAGTGTGCCCCCGAGAAGGGAAACTCGTGTTCTTCACTTCGGTTGGCGGCTCAGGCTGCACACGCTCACGCGATTCACCTGGTTAACTGCTAAGGGTAATCGTGTCCAAAGCTTAGGGCGTGCCTCGGATGTGTGGACAGGCCATACGTGTGCCTCCTGAACTCAGAAAACAAACTAAAATGTACCATCGCAATAGCCCTAAAATAGATATTCTCCATCTGCTTACTGCCAAGTTCTTGGAAACCTTCTTCTGTAGAATCTGAATCTCAGCATATGCCACACGCTATTATTATATCAGGCTGAACTTGAGTGTCATCCTGTAGGGCAGTTTCTGTTCTGACCTTGTGCAGTACCAGCAATGATTGATGAAAGTCTGAATGTATCAGAAAGGGATAGATACATTTCACCTGACAAAGTCCTCCTGTTACTTCCCAGTATTTTCTCCATTCCTTCTGGGCAGAAAGGATGGGTGAACACCATGCAACCTTGAAAACAGGAAAATATAAATAATTGGTAGGGAAGATACTTAAGGGGCAATGCAGTCTCTCACAAAGCAGGGCTCATTTGATAACAGATGACAAATATAAATTGTGCAGTAGGTGTGTTTTTAAATTCATACCTTTGGTTTTCTTGTATCCTTATTACTTCTGTTGTGCCCGGCTGTCAAAAACATTAATTCATTTTGCTTTGGTTTCATTACTTTCCTTGCATGAAAGTGCTACATTTAAAATATCATATTGACAAATTTATATTCACTACAGGTCCATTAAGAGTCTTTCTATAGAATGAATACTGTATTTGCTTCCACCTGGCTTACTTATCTTCTGAGATAACTAGATGACAAGAAGGGCATTTCAGGTTTGTAGGACATTTCTTATTTTAAGTTCAATAGCATTGCTTCATTTCAGTAGTACTCAATATTTAATGGGCTGTGGGAAAAATATTATAGCAGAAGAGAGATTTCTGAATTAATTAAATCCTTCGTGCTGTATATACTCTATATTTAAAGTCAAATTGTTTGGTTTTGCATATGCATTATTCAGAGTACTTTCATTTGTAACTTTACAAAAATCTTTGCAGTCTCACCTGTAAGAAGAATTTATGGAACAGACTGTCAGACTTTTTTAACTGGAAAGTTTAGCTCAGTTCAGGAAGGACATTGAGGTGCTGGAGCGGGTCCAGAGAAGAGCAACGAGGCTGGGGAAGGGACTTGAGCACAAGTCCTATGAGGAGAGGCTGAGGGAGCTGGGGGTGTTTAGTCTGGAGAAGAGAAGGCTTAGAGGTGACCTCATCACTCTCTTCAACTACCTGAAGGGAGGTTATAGCCAGGTGGGGGTTGGTCTCTTCTCCCAGGCAACCAACAATAGGACAAGGGGGCATGGGCTCAAGCTCCGCCAGGGGAGGTTTAGGTTAGATGTTAGGAAGAAATTCTTTACAGAGAGGGTAATCAGGCACTGGAACGGCCTACCCAGAGAGGTGGTGGATTCACCATCCCTGGAGGTTTTTAAAAAGAGATTGGACGTGGCCCTTAGTGCCATGATATAGTAATTGGAGTTGGATCAGGGGTTGGACTTGATGATCTTGGAGGTCTTTTCCAACCCAATCTATTCTATGATTCTATGAAAATTGTGACTACAATGTGTAGGATTAGTAATGGCTCTATCCAGCCTTCTTGCGGTGTAAAGGGTAGTAACGTTCACACTGAAATCACTCTACAGATTGGCAGCCTATCTGTTGTCTTTTAAGAATACAGCAACAATGATAATATGAACATCTCACACTCAGTTCATTGTAGTTAGTACATCACCTTTTTGCCAGATCAGAAACTTTAAGTTGTAATTATCAAATTAATAGTCTATTAAAGTCTTAAAGATTCTGTATTACATAAAATTATCTCCCCCCTGGCCCCAATGCTTGTATATATAAATAAAACAATAAAATCTCCGTATCTGGCTCATGTGGTTCTGAGTCATTTTTATAACAAGGGTCTGACTAATTTTTTTAAAATCTTATGGGCCAAATGAGAACAAAATTGCTACACAAAGATGATTCATTTGCTGTTAAGAAGGCTTATGATAGTGGCCATTAGAGGGTGATGTTCCTAAACCAGAACTACCCCAAATCAATAAAATAGTTTCTATGTGTGATTTTTTATTTCTTTTTTTCATCGTGGTACATGAGTTTTATCTTCAGCATATTAATTTGGATCATCCTCATCTATGCCAATGTAAGAACTGCACTTGGCTTTCTGCAGCTTAACAGAATGAGAAGTAAAAAGAAAAAGGAAATGAATAGGCGTTATTGTGCATAAAAGTCTGCACTAAGTTAAAAGCTAAACCAGGAAGGAAGTTACCACCACTATACTAGATGGGAGTGCTTCAGTGACATGTGCTTGCTTTTGAGAAAATCAGTACTCTTCAGATTAGGACTAGGAATAATTACCATGTTTATTTTATGTTTACCTGAATTTTTCAAAATCCATGAAGGTGAGTGATCAGCTTTTAAAATAGCGTTTTATTTATTCTAAAGTCTGATTGCAATTTAAAAGTTGTCACGTGCTTTCCTAAAAGCAATGTTAAGGATGCTGTACTCATATGGACTTTGCAAAGCATATACATTTTCTTCATTAGATTTTTAACCAACAGAGTTAATTATATGTGGTCATTTGAACGGAGTTTGTCATTCATTTATGTACATCGCAAAATTTTTGGTAACTATTTCCATGCAACTGTACTTTTGCTATCTTCATCATGAAAATAATACTTAAGATCTGTATGTTGTTTAATAGCAGGTACTCATGTCTTAAAAAATAACTTTTTCTAAGTTTCTATATGTAAATGCCTATAAAACTTTGTACAATTACTGTCTGGTATGAGATACTGTCTGTGAAAGAGATATGCAGTGGTAATCTGACAGAAAGTAGGGTGGGATAGATGTAACTGAGTGAAGCAAATCTTTTAACATAAATCTCAAATACATCTAGGTGATCCTAAAGGTCAGTACTAGATTTAGGATGAATGCAAAATATATGTGTGTAAGTTATGCATTCAGTGCTTTGTTAAAAATCCATAAATAAATTAATATTAAAATAGCTTTGTCACATCCATTCTTAAGTAAGCTTTTGAATAGATAAATGTTATAATAAAAAGAATCCCTTAGACAAATGATGTGTGCTCTCAGGCATCATGAAATGAATTATTTATGAAGCATAATTTTCTGAAAAAAAAAATAAAAAATCCAGATTAGGTCACTTATATTTACATTTCTATTTTCATTAACCACGAGAATAAACATGACAGTAGCTAGAATATAATTTGTAGATTTTTATAGTTTATAAATGAACAAACGTGGTAAGCTGTCAGAAGTTTTGAATATCATAAACTTGATGAGTCAGTTTAAGATATTGGAATAATTAATGTTTCACCTCCATGCAAAAGTAATCAAACTATTTGTTAGCACAAACTATGCAAATAAACAATAACATGACTCTTACCAGAAGAAAACCTTGACCTTACTGTCAAACATCAAAGAGTAATTGCATTTTTCCACAATAACTTTCCCAGATTGCTCTTATTGGAGATGCTTTATTCTGCAATAGCTTGATCACTCCAATTCTCATATCTACATGCAATCTTAATCACAGTGTGTCTAAAATAAGATTGTGAAGTATATGAGCAGAATACAGCACAGAATTATATTTGGAAAATTAGAATCATTGTCATATTTTGGACATTCTAAAAACTGTATAACTATGTAACAGACAGTATAACAATGTCCAAATTACACGAGAAAGTAAATATGTTGAACTGTTTATTTTGAAAATTCTTCTGGTTCATTGAAAACCTGCTGGAAAGTGGTTTTGTTTCAGATGTTGTGGCAAACCCAAAATGTATGGAATTACTTTGCTGTAGATGTTTCAAATCGGTGGTTACCCCAGGAAGCCTCACCACACAGATTTGTTGTCAAGAAATCTTGGAGAAATGAAACACAGTCACTGCATCTTCCTCTGTGAGGCGTTCCTAAATGAGTGTCAGAGACCTCCTTGTTCCACAGGCTTTTCTAAGATCTTCATGTTTTTAATATAAACTCCAAAATGATGGGCAAGCAAAGTATATAGATAGAAATAAGTGAAAATTGGATGTTTTATCCCAGGGGAAGCTCCAGCATTTATTTTCGTTCTGGAGTGGGAATAAAAATTGAAATTTCTCATTAGACAGAAATTTAGGGGGAAATAAATTTGCGAAAACCCAAGTCTTTAAAAATTTATCAAAATTACAGTTCATCATTGCCAAAAGTGAAATGTTTCCTCTATATTTGTTAAGCAACCCACTTGCTTGGTTAGGAGTCATTGAACCTTTAAACTACACTGCTTTAGAGCAGGAGGTTGTTGTTTCAGAACCTGAAGCTCTCAATCGCAGTCCTGTCCTCTGCATCCAGCTACTTGATGGAGTGCATCTCCTTTCATCTCTCAGTTGTGTATTCCCCTGCTTGTACTGTAGGCCTTGTATCTTTGCAATCTTATGTGACGACTATCATTTCTGTAAGGAAGTGATTAAAGATGCAATCTTATATACTGATTAATTAATTCAAAACAGAATACCAAGATCAAATGAAAAAAAAAGTCAAGCCAATCCCAAATGAAATATTTATAATTTTACCGAGAAGCAAGATTTTTACAAATTCAGATCTTCCCTTGTGAATAATTTCATTTTAATGGAGTTGGACAATCTATGGAAAACCCCCCTGTTAATAGAGGCTTAACAAAGGAATTTTATAATCACAGAATTTCCTAACATTAAGCATGCAGGTTACAGATCTTGAATATAAAGCAACTTCCTAGAGATACTTCGCATGGTTTCGTCTCAGTGATCCTCTTAACTCTTCAGGCTGTCTGCGTTCAGATTTCACAAAACCCTTCCCACATCTCCAGCGATGTTTACGTTTGGGAGGGTGCTTCCCAGCCCTACAGTAAGGAGGAAGCTTCTTGTGGGTACGGCTCTTTGTCTGGCCTGTAATCCACTGAAAAGGCTAGTCGTTTTGCAGCCCTACTTCCAGTGTTCAACACTATATATCCCTGCCTAGAAAATCCACCATCCTGTGAGTTGGGAGAAAATAAAATTCACTGATGCTAGATAGTTATTAGAATGGCTTTCTGAGTAGAGATCTTTCAAGAAGATGGTGTGCACCCTCCCTAACAAGACAGCATTCAAACTTTTTCCACTCAGATAACAGACCTTTTACATACCTACCACATGGCTCACAGGCAGCTCTGGAGCGAACCTGTCTAGCTGTGTGTGAAGTCCAAAATGAACTTCATAATGCTGTGTGTAGACTGCTGTCACAGCACAGTCAGTGGATTCCCAAGTCCCCATTCAAATTTCCTGGTGAAAGGTGTATGGTAGGGAATTTCCACTAGGTGACCTGGAGAGCTGTAGCAGTGGTATTAGACTAGTTGCTCAGATGCACACATGCCTTGCCACAAGAACAGGATGGGCATTCAATTTCTGCTCCTTGCTCATCTCCAAAGAGAAGCTCTGTGCAAAATGCCTCCGTCAGCTGGAAGAATTTGACCTCAGGAGCCTGCTCCACTCCAGGTTGCATGGGTCAGATATTAAGTGTTTTCAGGAAAATATTTTGACTTGCCTCGTGGGAAGATCAAGCCCTAAAGTTTGTCTGACATGTTTCCATTTTCTATTAAAATTAGTTATTTCCTTACCTGCATAGGCTGTGTATTTTACCTTTCCATTTATTATGTTTTATAAGGAGTTTATGACTCTCTGATGTACCATTAGTGAAGTGAAGATAATTAACTTTGGCATTGGATTTTATTTCTGTATCCTGTCTGAAATCCTGCACTGAACCGTTTCTGAGGTCAGCCTGCTGCAATGTGAGCACAGGTGGCCTGTTGAAGCTGTCAGATTGCAGCTGAGCACTGGAGCAATTAAAGGCTGTGTTTTTCTCTCTATATATAAGGATTTAGGAACACATTACTCCAGTTATTCATAATTGGAGTTAGATGCAAAATTTCTTCTCCATAGAGATGCAAGGGTACTACCAAAATTGTAAGCTCAGCTACAAAACTGTAGGTTAGTGCTGCACCAACTCTGGGAAGTGGTTATTTGTATTCTTAAATACATATTTCATGTTGGGGTCCCAGAAGTTTTTTATTCTTAATTTTTTTTTCATGTTGAAAAAAATAGTTCAAAGTTAACCCAAGTAAAAATGCATGATTTGTACAGTAAAGTCTTACTTTAATGTGGAAGACAACTAAAATAATGCTTAATAATTAATTCTGAGCGTTTTTTGCTACTTGCCAGAACTGCATTAATGTACTCTAGCTACAGTAATTTGATACTGAAATTTGACGGTGAGTACCAAACCCAATGGTCATAATTAAGATTTGTGTTTGTTGGCTGAATATAAGAGAACATGAAGGGTGTGGTTGGAGGATTCAGCAGCATTTCTATGTATTTTCACTGCGTGGCTTTAATGTCATTGGAAATAAAGTTTTCATTCTGATTATAGCTATTTTACAACATAATTGCACTGGTGTGTTGCAACTCCACGGTTCCAGGGCTAAGTTCCCCCTCCAAACATGAGTGCTTTCATCTTCTTTTCAAGTACAATCAAATTGGAACAGCTTTGAAACAGGAATGTGACTAGATACCACCACAGATTCAAGTTAGTATTACAAGAGATTTCATACAATTCATCAATAAAATCCAGCATTGAGGCTGTGGGAAGAATCTGTGCTTGGCTTTCTCTCACTTGCTGATGCATTCAATACGCTGCCATAACTCTTAAGAAAGTGCATTTCAGCTTAAGGTGGATAAAGGATCTATCACATGATGCTTCCATGCACACATGCACGTATTTGTCTGTGTGTCCTATATGACTGTCTTGCTAATATAGTACTTTTTTTTTTTTTTTTTTACAGCTAACACTGTAATTGTGTCATGTGTGGATACCTGTTCATCAAATAACACCACTTTTCCACTTTGTACGTTTAAAAACTCTTGCAAAAGATCAGCACAACAAAGAAGAGAAAACCAGACTATTTTACTGAAGGCCATTGTAAATAATTCCAATTTCCAAAATATTGTGTGTATTTGCCAGTCCTCCAGGAAGGAACAACAGTCAAATACTAAACACACGGAGTGTGATTCCAAGAGTGATGTGAATGTTGATCATCAAGTATCAGAGTCAGTAGCTAAAAAAAGTAAGTATGGGAAGAGAAATACTTAATTTTGAAGTTCTTAATTACAACATAAAATACATGTTTTTATTTGGTAGTTAAAAGAAAATTATAATATGCTGCTGTTGTCTACAGTCTTTGCAAATCTATGAACAACCTTTGTTTTAGGTTGTCTGTGCATGGCTAGAAAATGCAGGTCTTATGCCAGATCCTCAGTGGCATTCATTCCTGGCTGTCAGTGAAACATGTCAGTAGAAAAATGCTGGTTTATTTTCTTTGAAGATCTTGTACGAAATCGGGAGTAGGGGTGCATCATTATCTTCGGGGGGCTTTGCATTGATCTGGAAGAAGGGTGCTGTGCGAAAAGAGTGCCTTATCCAGCAGCAACCTGGAATATTTCTGTTGCAAATTTGACGTCTGCCATCCAGCTTTTATGAACAGTTTTATATCCCCATCTTTATTCTTTTAATCTTGCTAAATTTTCTAAAAAATTTGTTTTTAAGGAGTTGTAGTTCTGATCAGTTTTCACGCTGAAGGTGCTTTTAAATATCATTGAGGGACTCTACATGTAGATTGCTGATACTGTATGAAGATTGTGAGCAAGCATTTGAAGAACTAATTCAAAGATGGTAACTATTCAGGTGGCAGCTCTACAAGAAATAACCGTTTTTTGTGCTTGTAGTCTATGATATCCACAACTTTGTAGTATCAGAAATGGCCATGCATGTTTCACGGAAGGCAGCACTGAGTAAGGACTGGCACAGCAACACAGAGAGGAGTTCAGCAACATCCACATCTTTTTCAGAGCAGTAGCAGAGTATTATTTCTGTGCCATATACACTTAACAAAGTATCTGGAAACTTTTGGGGAACAGGATGCCTCTAAATTTTGCTTTCCTAACATTGTCAGCAACAGAGGCAACAAGCCAAGTCCTGAATATGACAAATCCAGCTCTCTTCCAACTGCATAATACTCCGTTCTCAGTTATACCCATACAACTCTCACACTTTTTTACCATGTCTCACCTAGCTACGTTTCTTGTTGACATTGTGCAAGTCTCACAGCTTGTGTGGTTTGGAGTGAAACAAGGACCTTCTGCAACTGTTAGCAGATAGACTAGATGCACGCTTCAAATCTCTGTTATGGCTTTTACTTGGTTTTAATTTTTTTTGTAGCCTGATTTTTGTCTGTTACCTTTGACAACAGATGACAAAACAACAGAAGTTCGAAAAGCTCTGAAGCTGGTAGTAGAGTAAAAAAAGGGGCTACAATTTGCAGGGGAAATATATTTTGTATAGATAATCAATACTTTTCAGATTTGTTCAGGACAACTTTACTTGGTATTCTTTTGTCCATTTTATCATAGTCAATAAAGTAAGAGCCCACTGTATGTTCTTGCAAATGAAACAGAGAATTTATTTTATTGTTCTTTCTGAGAGTTGTCTGTTTGACTACCACATGTTATATAAAAGTTTTGTTTTAATTTTTATTTCCAAAATCAAAAGGCTCACTTGAAGTGCAAACAGAAGATGTTATTTATTTTTACAAATATTTTAATTTCACTATGGTTTCTGAGAAAGAAGAAGTAGAATGTAATACTTATTGCCTGCTGGAAATCCACATCAATAATTCTATAGTCGGAGGAAGAAATGCAGCCAAAGAATACCTGAATCATTCCTGTCTAGTGGCAATGATGGAAGACCAAAACGACTGTATAAATACCTCACTGCAACTGAAGTCTTACATGGAATGTAAGTTACAAAGGAGTGTCAGAATGGAAATCAAACCAGATACAATATCAATCTTGCAAAAAATCTCCAGTAGATAGTTCTCTGCTTTCAGCAACCATTTGGAAGTATTTAAGTATTTCACAAGAAGCAAGCACAATTTTGATCATGTCTTAGTAAAAGGAACTAGGCTTAGTTTTCCCAGAGGACAACATGTCAGCTTTCTAAATTTCTCTTCATACTGCAGGAGTTTTTTGGCTGGTGCCTGACCATGGTCAGGGCTTTCAGTGCATCTATATGCAACACTTACCACCTGGGAATTGCTGAATTATTACATTCCTCTATTTTTGTGTGGCAAATGTATTTTGTGCTGTACCTTTGCTGGAAAAAAATATGTGTTTTGGAGTTGTCTAAACCTATGTTAAAAAAGTCCAGATAAAATCCTAGAGAAGAGAGGGCAGCTTAATTTTCATTTAAATAAGTAGGTCTAGCTATGAGAGTATAGTTTGTAAGCTGGCTTGCTAACTTGTATCAAAACTATGTGCTAACCACCCTTTCCTAATGGTGATTTACCTGGGAAGCAATTATCTCAAATGAACAATAAAAACAATAGATCTTTGTTCTATTTACTTCAAAACAAAGCTCAGGGCTTTGAATAGGCAAGGTTGATATACAAGTCATTACAAGTCACTACAAGATGGGGTAGAGTACTCTATTTGAAAGGGGCCTAAATGACTGTATAAAATAAACTTTTAGTTCTGAATTAGGAGAGATGAGCTGTGCTTGCCTCAAAGAGCCATGGGGTTATTGGCAGTTACCTCATGATTTCTCAGTGGAGAAGACCCACAAGGGGAGTTGATGTAGGTCTAATTATACTATTCTAAGGCAAAGAAAGGAAGACAGTGGTTTGGCTATAGTCTGTAATTTGATTTTATATGAGTCATAGTAACATAATTGGTTTTTAAAATAGTTATTTCACAATGGTAAGGTATGCATTAACATGCAGCTGCCAAAGAAGTTTGAAAGGTTTTAAAACAAATAGGGAGGAAAGTTCCCCACATCCTTTCTCTGTGATATATAGTCCTGGCTTGTACTAGTTGCTAAACTAATTCCCTGCAGAATGTGGGTGCATTTCTTCAGCAGCTGTTGTCTGAAAGAGCAGCCTATCTCCCACACCCAGTCCCATGCTAATTTTCCCCCAAGGCAGCTTTGATTAAAAAGAAGGGTCCTGTTGGTGGCATTTCCTCACTTTTTGTTAAAATAAAAATCTATATGTAGAATCTTACTTTCTCTCATATATGAAGATGGACCAGGAGGTTGAGAATGCCAGTACAGGCCAGTGTTGGACAGTGGACCAATTCCTTCTGTGCTCTATCCAAACAAAGAGAGGATATATATTACCCTTTTTCTACCTTAAATAGAAATGTTGACCTTTGAAGCGTTTTCTTCCTGTCTGAGTTGCATATAGCAGTTTATACAAACAGGAAAACTTTTCATTCGGCTAGCTACATATAACTATTTCAGACATGGGGAGGTAGATACAGGTGAAAATGAAGCTAAATTCTAGATAGGAAACTTAGTGTCAAACAAAAAATAAGGCATAATCTTCTGTTTTGTTTTAAATTTTCATCTGTGGGGATAGGCATGGTCCAAAAACCTATCAAGATCAAATGTTCTGCTTTTCTCTGCCAGTGATTTTCTGCTTCATTTTATCTCTTCTACATTTTATGGACAGATCCAATGTGTATGACGAAGATCATTTGGCTCACTATGATTCCAGTAGTTTTTGTGTTTACTATTTCAGTCGTCATCTACAAAATAGTCCAAGAAAATGAACAAAACTGTAAGTAACAAGTCAGTCTGCTTGAATTTAAGTTTCTATGCAATTAAAAATTTATTAATTTACAATAATAAAGCTGTTGATTTAAATGTGGTTCTGACACAAATATTTTAATTGTAATATAGTAAAAGCTTCTTACAGAGCAATTGAAATAACTCAGGTGATTGATATTATCACCTCTCACCTCTGAATTGTGGGTGCAAATCCAAGAGTGTAGATGATGAATGAAATACGGGGTTTTTGACAGACGCTTGGTGGCCTATGATCCTTAGTGGTATGAACTTGTGGTTTCAGACTGATTCCACTAGATAAAACAATTACAGTTGAACCCTGTTGAAGGTCTTAAGCAGAAATGCCAATGACTCAATAAAAGCAGATTGAAATACCCTTTCCTTCCTGAAGATGATTCATCTAGGTCATGGTCAAGAAAAATTACAGGATAGATATGAGGAGATGTGCACTCAGCTGTCTGCCCTAAAAACTGGTTGTCTAAATTCAGTGGTGGTGTACTCCCAAACAGGTCAGCCAAGCTGTGCCTTCTTAACCCCAGAGCTGAATAAAGCCCAGATTATGTTTCTTGTCTTTGCTGTTATTTCAGCAATGAAAATATTACTGTGATTTCTGAATCAGCACTATTGACTATTCCAAGTGATTAAAACTTTGCTATTAAAGAACTTGTCCTTATTTCAGAGACTGAAACAATTGTTTCTAGAGAATAACTTCACCAGCCAAGACAGGTTCTTCCTATGCTATTCACTTGGGATACAGGCTGAAATCGGGATTCACAGTATTTCTTCTAGCAATATACAGGGAAGAATGCAAGAATAAAAGTGTAGGAGTACCCTGAGCTTGAGGCTTTTGAGCAATCAAGATAAAGTCCTTTGCACGAAGGCAGTACAGAAAATTGGCTGCTTGTCAGCTGATGGTCCTTTTTTTTTCCATCCCAAATTAGAAGTAGGTGGTACAAGGAGCACACTCCCTTTCATCAGTGTGAAAAGAGTGTTACTTAACCAGTTACCTGAGATAATAGCTCTTAGATACTTTTCACAGCAATTTCCTGAGACTTTCTGCCTGTGTCAGCCCTGAGCGGGCAGAATGCCTCTGGACAACCCAGCATTTAGTTGCTATTACCAGGCAGATGTCAATTCTCCTTGTAGTCCAGAGCTGCCAAATGGAGACCTTGGTCACAGAGGTAATAAAAAAATGATGAGCCATATCCATTCCCCAATCATCCTTACTGTATCCACAGCTGGTTTTGTAAATGAAAGAGCAATAGGAGTCGAGATCTAATCATAACTGAACAGAAGGAAGAAGAGTGCCCACACATAAAATATTTCTGTGATTTTTTTGCATAATGTAAATATTTTATGCATATACTTTAGTGAATAAGCCAAATTGTTGCTTAAAATGGCAAGTCTGTGTCCCCCCTTCCCAAATGATTAGAGAAACTCCTTATAAGATTATATTGGCTAAAATACGCCATCTTTTACTTATTGCTAAACCCAAATTCTGAGACCTATTTTATGTATATGAAAATCCCAAAAAGTGTAAATTAGGTTTTTATAAGTGTGCTATTTGATGCTCTAATTTAAAGGTCATTTATTTGTAATTTCAAAGCTACCTATAAATGTCATGAATATGATATTCTATGCTTTGAGTCATAACATCCTATTTTTAATGCAGAACTATTACTAGTGAAGATGCCTTTATTCTTAAACATCAGTTTTCTATTAAATGCAGGTTAAATGCCCTAAGGCTTCTAATGAGGCTTCTAATTAGTCCTTTGCTTCTAGAACACTTTTTATGTTAATAGAGGAATAGTATTTTTATTAGTTAAATTTACAATATGTAACATTATAGACAACATCTCTATGTTACTGACAAAAAGACAGGCACATAAAAATCAGATTTAAGAGCTGTATTCTTTATGTGTATATATAACAGTGCCACCTTTAATTGCAGGTCTATATACTCATTTTTTTCAGTGCTGCCCAAAGAACACAGTGGAATATTACTATGTGCCTAAAACAGCTACAGTCATAATTCAGTTAGTAGTTTTTCTCTTAATTTCTGAGCACTACTGAAAGCTGTTAAGAAATACAGAATTATTCATTTCCTCTTGAGACCTTCCAAGACATTCTGCTAGGCAGACTGTGAGACTTTCTGAAACATTAATGAAGTTATTTCTATGAGTGCATAAAATAAAATACCCAAATAAACTTGGTGAAGGTTACAACCGATCCATGACAAAGGAACTAGATTAGAAATTAGTCCTTTTGCCTTTTCCCTTCCACTCTTGTCTTACATCCACTTACAGAGCTTCCTTTGACATTAAGTGTTACAGTGCATGCTTAGGGCTTCAGCACATTAGATGTCCACTGGCTATTCATAAAAAAAAACATGACCTAAGTAATCCTAGTTTAATGAATTTCTTAAAAATGATGTTTTCTAGTGTTCTCAAAAGAAAATGTTAAAAATCAATTCTTCTATGCAAAATAGGAGTGAGCCTGTCATGAGAAGCTGGCTGAGCCCTGAACTGCCGTCATTGTAGAACACAGCTAACCATAACAGCTGCACAACCCACTGCAATAAGCCCACCAAGAGCACAGTATTAAGAGAGCAGCAGAAGGTTGGAAAGACAGAGGAGTTTATGAACTGGGTGCTGAGGACAGCCAGAGTGTTCAACCCAGCTCTCCCTCTCTCTGGGTGGTGTAGAGCTTGCTCTCAAACTGTGCTTCCACAGGTGAACACCCCACACTTGCGAAGAATCTACCAGCTTCGTAGGATGCCAGTACACTCTGTCCTTACTATTCCACAGGCAGCAGTGTGAGTCTGAACCTGTACTGGAACATGTACTTCTTTGACAGCCTTCCAGAGTTTGTTCAAGATACGTAGTATAGAGAAAGAAAGGAATAACTTGAAAGTAGCAAACCTGCATGTAGTTTCCAGAAAATTTCATTCAGGAAAATATAAAACATCTGGCCCTAGGTTTTCCCTCATCACTTTCTTTCAAAACCTTCCTGTTTTTTTCATGGAAGGTATTTAAGAGTTTAAGAATAAGATGTTTAACAGATTTCCATCTTATCAGTGCCATATGTAATTCTATAGTTGAGAATAATGCATTTTGTTTAAAACAGATTGTCAACAAAGAGTAGCAGCAGTTTCTACTATTCTAAGAAGAAAGAGTTCTAGACATGAAAGAAGAACCATATCTGCTACTAAAATTCATCCTTTTGCTGGTAAGTAATATAAAGTAAAATAAAAACCTAGTCAATCTTGAGGCCTGAAGAGGTCAAGAGCAACATTTTAAGTCTTTCCTGTTGTCCTGGTTTTGCTAGGATAGAGTTAATTAAGGATGCTTCAGATTTGTTTCAAAGTTACCTTGGTCCTACAAAAAGTTGATCTTGCTTATGTTATGGAAACACTTTTATATCATAAATAAATAATTTTGAAGATGAAACTGTAAGAAAACTTATGTATATCATGTGGGAATGCTTCTCCCAGTCTGTATTAATGACTTTGGGGTTTTTAAGTCCTTTTAATTTTTGATCATGTTGTGTGCCACATTTGAGGTTTGTCAGCTGAGTGCTTTGTGTGTATATGAAAAGTATACAGACATGTACACACGTGTATGTATGGTCTATGTGTTTGTGACTCTGCAAAATCTGCTACCATTGGATGGAATGGATGGCTGTAGCAGGACTCAGAGCATGACTGCTGGCACTTCGTAGCCTATTTCTAGGGAAAAATTCCCACAAAGTACAATTTTCTAGTCTCAGATAGGAATTAAAATGTGCTACACTTCTGCGAGTGTAGTATGTTTAGCACAGATAAATTGAATGGCATGGCTAAACCCAAAGTTTTGGTTCCAGAAATTAGGATTTGATAAAAAATTCCAGTTTGAGGGGAAATTAGCAGCTGTAGTTCTGAGTGTTACTGATATTGCTGAAATAGTCATATGCTTTAATAAATTACATGGATTCTGGTTTAATGAAGGGAGCTCTATCTTTAAAAAGATTAACATGGAAATGTAGAATAATAGCTCTGATTGGTGTCCTCATAACAATTCCCATACTGTAACCAAAACACAGTGCTTCCTATCTACTACAAAGAAAATTATCTCTATCCTTGCAAAAACAGGACAAATGGCAAACCAACCTCCCTCCAAAACAAGAACTACAAAGCTAGCAAATTAATTAAAAAAAAGGAAAAAGGTTTTAAATTTGGCTAGGCTTTGGTACCTCCCTGCTTGCTTTGTTGATTCTTCAGGAGTATGAGGAGACTCAATAATTTCTCTTTACAACTCAGTAACTCATGGCATTTCAGTTTTACCTAGGAAAGATTGAATAGCTCCCTGTCTGAACTCTCCTGGGAGTACAATTTATGCTCCTCGCTTTTAAAGCGCTGGCTACCTCTAAGTTGTATTTATGAGCTCATTATTTTCATCCTGCAGGAAAGGAATTATGTTTCTGACATCTTTTGTCTTGAGTAGCTTCACTAATACCATGCTTGTTTTATCAGCATGTTCACAATGGCATTTTTAGTGTTGTATATCCAAAGGCATTTTTGACAATGGAGTTTTATGGAAATTCAAATCTAGTTTTTTACTAGATTTTACTGAAGAGAATAGGAATCCCATAGTGGTCTGTCATTCTTACTTCCATGTTCCTCCCACTTAGGTCTATCCATTTAACCTAGAAAGATGCTTAGTTGTATGAACTGCTATAATAGGTTTTATTTTAATATGAAATTCTTTCATTCCACACACCATGATTCCAGTCAATCCAGTCGATTTCCTGATTTATATCAATATAATTTGAAGTGGAATCAAGACCATATGAAAAGAGATTATTCTTTCCACAGTTGCTAGGTTTAAGATTTGATACTGTGATAATGGATTATAAATAACTATCAATGACTTCTTCAACAGCCTTTGGTAATATATTCCCTGTCATAATTGCATAGCTTGGAATCTTGAAACAAAACATTGAGACCCACTGAAGACAATAAAATGACCCTGGAAACACTGTAATGAGGCTAAATAAATATGTATCTGAGAGGATGCAACAGTATCTCATATAGATGAAAAGATGTATACCTACTACTAAAAGGTTATTCAAAGTTCAGAGAGAATAAGGGGAGAAAAAGAAGGCAACCTATACTTTGAGAATTATTTCCTAGGCAGGCTCAGGAAATTACTGTCGTAATATTGCAGTGGTCCTACAAAAAGATAATTTACAGCATGGAGACCAGTTTTGTGAAACTGTTAGTGGCTGTATGTCCATCAATCATTGCTATTAAATCTGGTGGGTGAAGGAAAGGAGGAAAAATGTGTAGTATGTTCTCTAGGGTAGGATTAAAGTTACAGCCTTCCAAGTTCACGGTACTACAAAGGATTAAGCACAAATAATGAGGGCAGGGGAGCTTTAAAGCATTCTGGGCATAAATGCTGACTAAATCTTGTCTGTGCTGTTAAGCCAAAAAAGTATGGACTAGAGCATGGGTTAGACGGAGCATGTTTTCTAGACTTTGGATCTGTTCCTGCCATTGAGTTCATGTAAAACAGTCCCTTGAATGATATGAATTGACAAAAGCACAGTTCCCCTTAAATACAGCCACAGGAGAAGGGAAAGAATACAGGGAGGTTTTTCTTCGGTACAAGAACTACATATTATTTAAGAAGTGGCTGATCTGTATTTCCAGTCACAGAGCATTTTTGTGTCAAATAGGTAGGAATTGATAGCAGTAGCACATGGAAAATAATCCATAGAAGAAAAGTAAATTCCTTGCTTTGTGTTCATAACAGAGATTCCCACATAGGAGACTTTTATTGCAAGAATTTATTTAAGGAGCTTTCTCAAATTGAAGAGGCAGTAGAAGAGGTTTTTGGAATAACTTAATAAATTAATAATAGCAATTAGAAGGACCAGACAGTATTCTGCACAGTGTTTTAAAAGAACTCAGATAGAAACTGCTAAACTGTCATGCGCAGCTTGCTGCTTAAATCAGCCTCAGTTCCAGAGAAAGGGAGGCAGCTACACTTATCCTGCTCTTGTACCTTTCTCTTAGCCCACTTTCCCTAGACCACTTCAGTGCTTTTTGCACTACTAGCAACTGATTAAGTATAGCTGTTCTCATATAGCTGTATCCTAAAAAAAAAAAAAAATAAAAATCAAGCCTGGGGACATGGCACAGAATTCCTTGTTGGGAGCAGGCCAGTGTGTATGAACTGTACACTACATAAATTAAAAAAAAGAAAAAAAGAAAAAAAAGAGGTTGCACAGGAAACATTGCATAAATCAGGGCCTTTAATACCTGGGTTGAATCTGCCTAGCAGGGTCTTTTCATACTGGAAGTTTCATTAATGTAATTATATGGGTTATACTTAAGTGCGTATTTATATTACTAGAAGTCTACCACTATAAATTCCTATTTAGACCTTCTTTTCCCAGCATAAGAATTACAGTCTTTGTTTATTTTTATCTTATTTTGAAAGCAGCATAAGTTCTAGAGGAATAAAAGGCCTGCTCCCATTCCTATGTTAGAATGGGACTGTGCAGACAGACAATCATATTGTTAATATCACGATGTTATTACTCTTCAGTCTTTGTGAGCAACCTTAGTTCAAACCTAATGCTTTGTTCCACATTGCTCACATGGTATACTTCTCTCATTTTCTGTGATACTCCATTGGCTCATGGAGTCACAGTCTGGTTCATTACATTTTAGGAGACAAATATAGGATTCCCTGAGTCACTTCTCTTGACTCACTGTAATGCAAAGTTGATTCTCATGGATGGTAATTTTATAACTCATTCTGAAAGAAGGGACATTGTAGGATCATGGTGACAATTAGGACTCAGAGAATAAACCTTCAGGGTTTCTGGCCTGCAATTGTTTTCTGGACTGTTTAGACTTTGTGACATCCATAGCATTTGATATAAGTGCGCTTGATAGCGGTAATTTGCACATAAGAAACAACAAGACAAATTTCCTCTCAGTCATTTGAATTCCTGTATTGTTTTCTGTGCTATCGTATTAAAATAATAGTTCATCTCCCACAAGACTGGAGGAAATAGGCAAAATTCTGCCATCTCTCTAATGTATTGCTACAGCTTCAGATTAGTTGACAGGTTGGAAATAAAAACAAACTTTGACTGAATAGTGTCGGGGCTGGGTTCCCTGTGAATTCAGACTCATGCCTCCTTGTATTCTGCAATACATTTTCTTTTTAGCAAAGAGGACAGGCAAAATACATCTTCTACAGCAGCACATAGATGGAAAGCCAAGAAATGAGAAATTTGTTTCATCCTGGCCAAGTGAAGCATCACTTGTTTGATTCTGATCCTTTTCAGTTCCTGACATAGCTGAATAGTTGTCTTTTCCTCTGCAACTTAGATGAATAATGCTGGGAAAAGCAAAGCTTGTAACACTATTCAAGATTTTACACAGACTTAAAAGTTTCTGAGATGCAACATTTCCAGAGAAAAATGTGAAGCCTTATTACCACTTTGGGTCTTTTTTTATGTTTCAGAAAGGAGGATAAAATCTACAGCATGCAAGTGATTTTAGGGAGGTTTTCCTAGCCCCTGTATGCTTTTGGTAGAGCACAGGCTCTGAAGGGAATATCAGTCTACATTCCTATTCTTTCTGGGGTTGTCCTGAGGGTGAAACAAGATCCATTGCTATTTTTAAAACTGCCTCAGTTTTGTTTTAACTTTACTTTCATATTCAGTTGCTTAATTACCAAGATCCAAATTCTACTCTTTAATTGCATTTTTACAGAGAGAAACACAAATGATAGTGCCTGTGGAGAAGAGATGTAGCTACATACGAGAAGCACGGTTCATCCTCTTGTGAACTCAGTAGAAACCCATTTGCAGGTTTACAGAAATTATGGATGGTCAGGGACAGGATGGACCTTGAGTTAAAATATTATTTGTATTTTACAGTAGTTCTTTGAAAAACACATTAGGTCAACAGCTCTGAGTTCATTTGTCTGACAGTGCTATTTCTACATTTCTTTATCTGTATGCCAGTAAGATATGATATCAGGATCTGGATCAGGATCATATCAGGATTGTCAATGTGCTAAAGGCATCACCACACTTTTCCCTGCTTCTCAAGTGCATGCTGTCATCTTTGTTAACAACTGGGTGATACCCAGCAGCTCTCCCTGGGTGTATGACAAGTTAGCTGAGGCCACGTCACATGTTCCTGAATGGCAAACTGGGCTGCTCTTATGTGAAAATGAATCAGAAAGTTCACACTCTAAATTTCCATTGTTTCCGCTTAACTGGTCAACTGTAGGTTTTTAGTATTTTGGGAGACTCTTAGTTAACACCAAATTTGCATACTTTTGTATTTTGCTATTAGTAAAATTTTCAAGAGTAATTTAATTGCCTACTTTCAAGCTGCTTCCCAGGGAGACTTAGGAGTAACACGTTGTAGTCCCACTAGTACCAAGAGAAAGTTAAATACAAAACATGGTTAGTACTTTCAGGAGTTCCTGACGTGTGTCTGCATCTCTAGGCACTGAAACTCCACGTTGAAACTTTCTGTCCACCTCTGCCTTGTGTTCAGACAGGTCTCATTTATTTTCAAACTTGAAGATTCAATGTTTAACACTCTGCAGATGTATTTGCTGTGTAATAATATGGATAAAAATTATTTTAACTTTCAGTAGTGAAAACCAGCAAACAACAGATTCCACTTGCTGCACAGACCACAAAGATACTGCCTGTAATTCCTGAACAAGAGCATTGTCATGTGGGTGCATCAGCTGTAGAAGGTGAGTAAATATCTTACAACTCCAAAGATTCTGTTTTGCCTCATATTTTTGGCATTAGTAGTATGCAATATCTGGTCAAACTAAATTACTATTTCTAGCCAAGTATATGAGATGACAAACTGGAAAATGTGTTTTGTGTGAACTAGGTGGCAGGGAAACAAAATCAATTTTCCTTCTGCTGCCAAGAGTCATCTATAAAATAAAACGTTAGCTTTTTAAACCCTGTGTGTCCCTGAAGACCTCAGTGAAAATTCGAACGCTGTTTTTCTGGTATAGAATATTGTGTCCTGGACTTTGGCATTATGCTGGCATTTGTTTCTGACAAGGGCAGAGGAAAGAAACAATTTACAAATGATCTCTGAAGAGAATAAAGTCTTTGAAATAAATAGTCTGCTGATCAAATTCTGCAAACAAAAGGAATCAGTCACTCAGTTGTTATTACAGCAGTCAGAAGGCGTGACAAGAAGTTGGTTTCAGCTTAGAAGTAAAACTAGTCTCCCACTTCTAACTTTCTCCAGCCCTTGTACTCCAGTAAATTGTTTCAGGAAGTCCAGATGTAAGGAAACAAGTCTGAAAAGAAATGTGCAGTAAGAGACACCTCTTCCTGGCAATACTTGTAATGCCTATAAACAGAACAGATGCTACTTGAATAAGTAATACAGACTAATATATCAATTGCATAGACAAGGTTATGGCTACTTGCACAAATTATATGACTGTTTATGGTGAATCTTTTAGGTTAAAAGTTTAAGAAGGTTCTTCTTTACATCTATTTGAATTGGGTGGAGTTTTATTGCAAACTCAATATCATGTCCTGCTATCTTTTTAATGTGTTAAAAAAATTGATGTATTGAAGAGCAGTTTGATTTTTGTGCTTCATGTGGAACCATAAACAATGACGTTGTATGTTGAGAGCAGAGCTAAAGAAGAAGTTTTAAACATCATTGCTGACAAAAGATGAGGTACTGGCATAATAAATTAATAATTAAGCTAAATTATTGTTTGGCTTTTGAGAGAGACTAGCTTGGTTACAGGACAGTGTATTATAGTAATTAAAAATATTGACCACTTTTAAAATGATTTCCAGCCATAGATTTTATGAAGACTTACGAAGACAGGAAGTTGCCATTATTACTATTCTAAAATGAGGCTATCAGGAGGCAGAGAAAGATAATGTGACTGGGGAAGTCCATGACATAGATGAGAGCAGTTCTCAGATTCAGTTCAGCTGTTTGCCGTTTGGACTTCAGGCCCTTTCCCAGAGCCCCATCAGCTTTTCTGTAGGGCAGCTTCTTCCTTTCCCCAGGGACTCCTTCCAAGGACTTCAGTACCAGACCATTTCTTTTTGATACTTTTCAACTGTCTGTCAGTTAAGCCTTTATCTTCTCATATCTCTGTCTGCCACTTACTCACCCACTGTAATTGTTTCCTATGAGAGCATTTACTCTCAGGTTAAAACCAAGACATTTTTAAGGTTGTAATAGGATGTGTTTCCTGGGGGGAGGGAGGGGGGCTCACTAGCATTCAGTGCCTTCATTTATACAGTATTATGTCTGATCAGCAGCATGCTTTGTCCTTCCAGGATGTTGGGTTCACCAAAACTCATCTTTTAGAAGCAGGAAAAAAATCATCATGTCCCATTCCCATGCAAATTTAACTTTTGTATTCCTAGAGGTGGGAGATCATTGGGATGGATCCTGCTAGCACTCCTTTTGCTTTCATTATCTTAAGTGCTATGTATTAAAGGATAGAAAGAAGAGATGGAACAGCTTTGCAAATCTTTGATTGCTCTGTGGGGCAATAAATGAGATCCAGAACACTCTGGGATGAAGTTATCCCTTTCTTTAACCTCTGGGTCAGTGACTGAAATAAAAAGATTAAGTATCTTGAGAGACCCCGAACACCTTGCTCCAGTGCTGTGCTGCACAGAAGAAGGCTTGTTTTCCTGGTCATAATGCAGCCTTCCTGTCAGAAGCAGTGCTGGCAGGGAGTTGAAAGCTGGATGTGATACGTGGGATTAATGCTGAATGCATGAAATTGCAATGTTACATGGCATTGTGCAGAAAGATTATTAAAGGGTATGGCTGGAGAGGCAGGAACTTGGATCTAGATCTTGCCTTTCATCACAGTAGGTTTTGAATAACATTTCTCAAAGGAATACTGTCTCAAAGCTAAATACTCTGTGAAAATAATAGAAACACTTTCTGCTTTAGTTTTGCTTCACTTCCTGCAGAGAAACACTTCCCCCTTCATCTGATAAGGTCGTTACTGCTTGTGCTTGTGGGTGGCTCAGTAGCTAACGACACGACACTGCAGTTACAGAAAAGCTTGCTAGCTAGAAGACATTTTGGTTACTTTGGTTGTGGAAGAAGGTTGTGGTCTACTTTTCTCACAAGTGCTAGGGCTGTCTCTGTGAAGTCTCTAGAATGCTACTAAAGACTAGTTTGCTCATCAGGGAGGAGCTGGCTGCATTAGAAGTGCTGCACATGAACAGCTGAGTACTGAGACCGAAAAATGCCAAGATTATTAAATTCTCAGAATTGACAAAGACAGTTATAGACTCCACCAACTTGATAAAACCTGTTTTTTCCCAAGAAGGAGATGGGGTGGAGACAAACACATACCAGGAGCTTCTTGATCAAAAAGCATCATCTTTGTATCACACTACCAGCTGCCCCTCTGAAGGACATACATTTCAGACCACCGATACAAGAGTCTCAAACAAGGAAAGGTTCTAGCCTGAGCTAGAAACTTGAGAGAGCTCCACTGGGGATAGTGCTTACACCTGCCCTTCTCTGCTTCAAATCTGGCTTCAGTCTGGTTGGTAAGATTTACCCCAATGCCTGCACTGGATCAAATAGGCAAGACCAGTGAAGGCAAACCACTTTTGAGGTATGCTTTTCCTCATTTCCAGCTAGCTGGAGCTGCACTCAGAGAATGCATTCACCACAGCATTGTGTTTATTTGATTTCTGTGTCAGGAGGCTGGCTGTACAGTAGGTGTGGTAGATACAGCAGCAGCTGTAAGGAGGAGAAATGGAAAATCAGAGATCACTCTTACCACCATCATTAATGCTACTGAGCTGGAAAAACTGCTGACCACCTCAGCAATGGCCCTTAATCCAACACATTGAAAACTGAAAGGCTCGACAATGTTGTTTTTAGCCACAGAAATTTAATAAGTTAAAAATCCAGACTGGACAGGAGAGCAAAGTATTAGGCATATTATTTGCTCGTCCCTCCAATCTGAAACAGGGAATTATTTGTCTTGCTAAGAGATGGAGAGAGATCAATAATCAATAACACACTGATACTTTCTGCTGAACTTTTATCTTTTTGTCAGAAAAAGACATTTTTTTTTTATAAATGTCTTTTTAATGTCTTTATATTTAAGACAATACTGTTGATCATAGAGTGTAAATGTATTGATAGACATATGACCACACATGTGGCCACCCACATGTGTATGGTCATGTGTATCTGTATACTTATATCCTATGTGTGGATATATCTATATATCTCTATGTGTGTGTATTAGTGTGTGTGCATACAGATTTGAGTGCTGAAGTTAAGAATCCTCCTCTGTTTTTCTGCCATCTTTCATTAAACCACCGTATTAGTGACTGTCCCGGAAAAAATGAGCGAGCCAAGCCTCTCAAGTGCTTTAAGACAGTCTTCTCTTTCCATATGACAGCTGTAGATGTATTTCCGTAGTGCCATCAAAAGGTGACACGAATTACTGTGAATTTCAAGGCTGGTGTTTATTTTGATAGGAAGCATGAACATTTTATTCAGGGCAAATATTTGCATTTGGAGGCAACGGTGTTCAGGGGGCAGCATGCTAGAATGAGGCTTTGGAGAGCCAACTTTTTCTGTCTCTGCCGATGACACCTCATTACTGACTTGCAGTACTTGCATCAGCTGGTACTTTTAACTTTAAAAGCACTACTTTCATCAGCTATTGTTTCTAGCAGCTCTAAAACTATGGGATGTATATCTGGGCCTGCTTTTTTTTTTTTTTTTTTTCTTTTTAAGTGAATACTCTCTTCTGTGACAGATGCAAAGACAGAAACAAGAAGCTGGACTGATAGCAAGAAATCTGTGAGAGCAGACCAGAAGGATAAATACTGAATTCATATATCGAAGTGAGGCTACTAGCTCCCTTTACTTAAAAAAATGCAGGATGTGAAACTATAAGAAGACTAATGTTTCTGAACATACTTGATTCAATGTCTGTTCTCTAAAACAGTAGCAGCAAAGAATAACTGGAGTAAGAAAAGTGGACAAATAAAACTCAAATCACCATGCCTATTAAAACACTCCTACCTATGGTGAGCAGCCTATCTGAAGGTATGAGAGCATTCAGCAGATGATTTTGCTCGTGGTTAGCCCTGAAATCATTGTTATGTAGGGAAGATTTTGGCTTAACTTGCCCTTGGAGGCTTAAGAAAGCCTGTCCATGGAGTGACTTCGCTCTGTGTTTGTGTCCTGCCTGTGCCCTGCCCTGTCCTGTGGCAGTCTGTCTTTCCCCAGTGGTGCGGCCATGTGGAGTCTGGGCAGACTGGCTGTGCAGCCTGTTCCCTAGCAAAGGTGCACTTCAATCTTACAGTGATCAGGGCAGAATAAAAATCACACGGGTATAACACGAAGAGTAATTGTGAGCCCTTGCCTGCGTACTTCTGTCCCCTGCCTGTTTAAGGGGCAGCAGCATTGTGTTCTCTAAATCAAAAGGAGCATCAATGGATTTCTGGAATGACGGGACAGAACAGTGTTCACAGAATCACACAGAATCACAGGATGGTAGGGGTTGGAAGGGACCTCTGGAGATCATCTAGTCCAACCCCCCTGCCAAAGCAAGTTCCCTACAGCAGGTTGCACAGGAAAGCATGTTCTCTTTTATTTGGGGAAATAAGAGACAAATGCAGACCTGACAGTTCCAGGATGAAGTGCTGCCATTTTGAGGAAAGAAAGAAGGAAAACTCAGAGTCTTAAAGCCAATTGTTGTGGACTTTTTTTTTAAGTAAAAAGTGTCCAGCTGAGCTCTTGTTAGATTAAATTCACACAAATTGGTCACTATTACCCCAAACAGTTTATTTACTGCATCAGTCTCTTTGACAGTCAATGCCCCAAGGACAAGATGAAACAATCCTAGTGTCCTGCCTCCCATTAATTCTCTCAATAAAACCAGTGGACGTGTCAAAGGCTGCATAAAAGCTAATGAAAGTTCCACATCAGCAATTGCCAGTGATTTTTCGAACATTGCCTTTTGCCGTCGGCACTTCCTTGTTGCTTTGTAAAGAGCTTTGAGATCCTTGAACATGTGAGGTGCTTCATGTCTCTGTATTTCTTTCTGAGTTACAGTGTAGCTGTATAGTTAGATAAGACAAGTTGGTCTCCCAGTGAACACAGAATTTAAGGCACAGTCTCATCTTCAGGTGAAATGGATTAAAAAACTGGAACATCAGATATATGGCAGGTCACTGACAGGGACGGCGCGCAAGGGAAACATGTATGGCTAAAAAGGTGATGAGCTCTTTCACAGAAATTGTAAAATAAAAGAAGCTGATGGGTCTCTCTCCTCTGTTTCTAAAAGCACATGGACAGGAAACCTCCCACGCGGGGTGGTTGGCACAAGAGACCAGTTAATAACTACGTGTATGAGAGGCTGATTCCTATTCAGCTGCATTCCGAGTATCATCACTGCTATCATTTTCTAAGAATACCCTCCCCCAGCAATGTAGAAATTTAAAAGTGCAGATTCCAGTCTAACACGAGGAAAATTCAATGCAGGTCCATCCAGGGTATTACCTGGGCTTTGGCTCAGGCCCCTGCTGCTTTCCTAAACGGGTCTTTAAATGCCATCGTTGCAGAGCTTAGTACCACAAACAGAAAGGCAGCTGAAAAAATTATTTGCCTACTTGTTATTATGTGATTGTGGCTATATAAAAATGTTTTCATATTTAAAAGAATCCCTCTCTCATCTGTCTTTGAGCAAGACACCCACACAAACAACCGAAGACACAAATTATGCAGGGAAAACAGTGAAACTCATAGTTCAAAACATTCTAGCAAAGGCCCATACCATGTGTGCTCAGGAGAGAGAGGAAGATTACAGTTAAGCTGTTTTGATAAATCATGCATGTATTTGTAAAGAACAGTAGGTGTGATTTTAAATTGCTGGAATCCTTCCAATTATCCTTTTGACCCTTTTTCTGAAAAGCATAATTTCAGTGCTCAGAAGTGATAGTACCATAGTTAAAGTTATCATAAAATTGAGTGTGATGCTGCTGAAGGCAGAGTTCTTACTAATACTGACATACTGCATTTGCCAGTTGGCCATTTTTGGGAGACATAATTTTTTATGCTTTCACGAATTCCTGTAGATAATGATGAAATAAGATCTATGCCCCACATGCGGCTTTAAATTGTTTTCAGGACTGTATGCAGTCCCCCAATTACATATTTCTTTTTTAAATATAATGAAAGATAAATTCCTCCTCTCTTTCTGCTTTCTTAATAGGTTCAAGTCTTAACCATACATTAAAACAAAAACTCCTCTCAGTACGAAAGAGCTCACAGAATCAGATTGCTGAGCACATTCCGGAGTACTCGGCACAATTATTGGGCTCTGTATAAAACACATGCCAGGATGTGTTTCTCTCCAGAACAGACACTTGGAGGTTTTTGAAGGGAAGCACTCCTGTCTGCTTGCAGAACAGGGCTGTAATGGGCACTGTGCAGGCTCTTTAAGCCCCCTGTTCCATTAGCTGGCATCAATTTTTGATGCATTGTATCCTGCCTACACTTGTCATTTTCTAGCTCACTTCAGCAGCTGCTGCCTCCAGTATGATTGCACGGCCAAGGAACACTTCTTATCCCTGTTCCTACAATGTAAAGGAAAAAGGAGACAGATGTTGTTGTTGGGCCTGCAGCTAGGGGAACTACAAGAACAGGTGATGAGCTGCATTCACTTTGTCACTCAGTGTGAGAGTAAGAAGTACAGAAATCCTGCGCTCCCCGCCCCCCCCCACCATGGCATTGCACAGTTCCCTAAAACTGAAGATGAGCTTGACTGGGATCTGGGGATTTTCACATTTCAAGGCTCCTTATAACGTGCTACTCTGGGAGCTGCAGTATGATTTTCTAAAGTTTCATCAATGATTAGAGGAATATTTTTCACTTGGGAATGTGGAAAAAAGCTGTTCTTATTTAATTAATTCCAAATTTGGCCTACTGTATGAGTATAGTATGGGAAATGCAGTTGGGCACAGGTTTGCAAATTCTTCCATCCAGCTGGTGGTTCGGATTTGTCTATTTTTATTTTTTTCCCATTAGGATAATTTAGGCTATTTTGGCTCAGCTGCAGTAAGACCTTGTCAATACCCCAAATTTACTCCTGAGCACTCTGCTGCAGGTGGAGTACTTCATGAAGAGATGCTCAGGAGCTGACACAGAGCAATAGATCCTGGAGTGGAGGCAGACACCACACAAAACTCTTACCCCCTCATCTAGCTGCCAAGAGGGAAGAAGAGAGTGAAGCTTGCTCAGTTATTTGAAGGAAAGAGATTAATCTCCACCTGCCTTTAAAAGAGGGTTCCAGACTGAACCCCATGTGGGTGGAGACACACTGCAGAAAGCCAGTTTGAGATGCTTTGAGGACATTCTTACTGGTGCATTTCAGCCAGGTGGACATGGTGAAGGCTCCCCAGGGCAGCTTCTGCCTCTGCTCACCCTTATGTTGCCAAGCTCCCCTGAAAGTGAGCAAGGTCCGGTGCTTCTCACTCAGGTTCCTGTTTCATAATCTGGTGGGGCAGGTACCTAAACCACCATCCTGCTGGCAGGTATTATACTTAGGTCTTTTTGCTCCCATCTCCTGTGCATCTTCTATTTTGTCTGCCTCTTGGTTACAATGTTGTTTTCTTTTGCAATAAAGAGGAGAATTGATTGCTGTTAAAGTCAAAAGAATGACATTTAAGATAAACTGGGGAAGACTGCTTTTTTAACCTCTTTTTTTCTGATACCATTTTCTCTTGCTTCAGATGTTGCTATATGAAATATAATTACTACTGGATGAAAGAAGACACATCATACACCACCGAAGAAAGCATCTCCATTTCCAGTTTGGGGAGCTATGTTATCCATCTATTCATGAGAATGCCAACGTTGCATTTTAGTGGAGAAGCTCCATTTTATCAGAACTAATTGATATCAAGAAAATATGAATGATGGACAACCATGTATTGCTGTAGAACCATCTTCAGTAGAAGAGTATAAATTTCACAGCTATTTTCAGTTCATTCCAGATTTATACTTAATAATTGCAATAATTTCATTTTCTATCAGAGAAGAAATTTATTTTATATTCTCCAAGAAAGTCTGTTTAAAGATGGAAATGGTCCTCTGCTTTCATGAAATGAACACATTTCTCAGATGCTGTAGGTGATTAAGATGCTAAAAAGATACAAATTTTGGCTGTTGAGGAAGATGTCTGGAAGATCATAGAAGGAGAAAATTCTGCAGTACATTTTAATTTCTGCAGTAAACCAGGAAGACCTTAATAAATTCTGCAACATCTTAGTGGATAAAGAAAAGTATGTGGAAAAACAGTGATTTGGCTTCAAACCACAAAGTCGTCATTATTGGTTTTTGATAAGTCATTAAGACACCAAATGGGTTTTGTACTGTTTGATAAATTGTATCTCTATCTTTTGTACTAGTTTAGGTCATTAGTATTCAGACTCATTATCTCCTGGAACTTTTCCTTACTTTCCATTTATTACTGCTCCTCTGAGTGTAATGGAGCTGTTTGGGCCGAGCAGGGTCCCAAACTCATTCTGTGCTCACACATTATTTGTGGGTACAATTTAAGCACCAATTACTAGGCAGAGACAGAAATTGCAGAGCCAGGACTTCAGACTCCCTTGTGCTAAATCCATCAGGATGAACAGATTGTAAACTGCCCATTGCAAATATGATATGCAGCAATTTAGCATCGTGTTAATACTTCGTCACCTCCATCCCTTACATTTATATAGCTTTTCTCTCCTGAAGCTTTCTGAAATTGCTCCTCCAGTCATTATACTGCACCAAGCAGTTCAGATTTAATAGGAATAGTTGTGAACATTAGCTTCTGAATGATTTGAGGCCATATGGAATTTTTTATATTTAGTTGGATAAGTCTGAAGCATTTGTTTCTATTGTTTGTTACCATCTTATAAAAAAATCTGAGAAAAATACTGACTTTCTTGATTTGGGGGCTTTTGAGGCTTTATTGCTTATCTGTGGTAATAACTTAAAGCTTTCATAAATGCTTCTTTTAATACAGTCTATAAAATAAACCTCTCACAACTTATTTCTGGTTGGTTGGGTTTGGTTTTTTGGGGGTTTTTTTGGTTGTTTTTTTTTTTTTTCTTACTATAGAACAGCAATTTACAGATGAAGAGACATACCTATCTCAAATCATTGCTGAATTGCTAAGGCCATTTTAGTCAGTGTTTAAATGCTTCAGATGATGGCACTGTCTCTCACTCTTCCCCTTCAGTAATTCAGGGATCTTGTTGACAGGGACAGCCTGCTCCTCATAACCTCAACTTAATTTCCATTCTCCTGTAATTTAATTCCATTAATCCTGCTGCCTATAACCTCCCTCTTTTCTTTTCCTTGGATGGCTAAACTGTGACTTACTGTTTTATCGCCCACAGTTATGCCACAGCTCTCCAAGTGTTCGGTTTGATTACTCTGGAAGGTTCCATCTTCAAAGTTACCTTTAAAAACACCAAGAACAAGTAAATGCAAAAAGCTCCTACAAGCTTTTAATCTCTCTTGAGTAGAGCTTACCTTGCCTTGTAAACTGTAGGAAACAGTGGAAGAATGGGGAGACATTGGTGAGAATGGTAAGAAAAAAATGTGACCCTACAGTAATGCAGGTTGAAGGGGAGCTCAGGCAGCCTCCCTAATCCAACCTCCTTACACTGGGGAGGGGACGAAGGAGCAACCAGTTTAGTGTCTTCCCATTTCCTCCTGAGATCATCTGGGTTTCTCTCCTCCCACGTCCTCTTAGCTCCTTGTCTTCATCTCTGGCTTTTTCAAAACTGAACATTTGAGGAGAGAAAGGATGTCCTGGTGCAGTCTCTCAAGCATGAGATGGTGGCAGGAGCAAAGAACCTCAGAAACCAGCGGGGGGAAGGAGACAAGAAGGTGGAGAAGAGTAGGGTGAACAAAACCGGTGGGGAAGGCAGAACTGATGGAGTACAGAAATGTGCAGAATGGACATGGGGCAGAACTGGCAAGGGAACTGGAGAAAAAGCACAGACCACCTTAAATACCAATGCTGTATGGGCTGCTGGTACAGTGTTGGAGACAGGCAGGGGCAGGAAGAGCAGGACTGCATTTTTACAAGTCTAGTAAATGAGCAGAGAAGGTTCTGAAGGTGTTTAAAAGTTGTTTGAATTACCCAGTGTTCTGGCTTTCATTTGGGTGATGCTGTCTGACTCCAGAACTGGCTCCTTTTGTCGAATGCCTTTCAGGTTCAGCCCCGTAGTGTGGAAGAGAAATAGCAGACATTTGTTTGAGTAATGCCTTCACGCCTTCCTCTTTACAGCAGCGGCAAATTCTGTTCACTAAGAATTATGATTAGTTCTTGCTTCAGTGTTTTTAGACTCCTTTTGTACATTACTGTAGTGTTGCATAAGAAATATTCTTTCACCCTTTGGGTAAAATGTTGGAAAGGCAGAATGAATAGCTGGTGCTCTTCTTTGAGTCTATTAGAGCACCTCCTCAAAAGACTGTACAGGGAACCTGTGAAAAGGAGATCAAAGTGAGGAGACTAATAAGTTCTTAGCAGATCTGTGCTGAGGGACTTTTGGGGTGCAGGCAATAAAGGGAGAATGAGCACTACAGACCTAGAGTGATCAAATAAGCTGTCTTCTTTCCTTTGAGCTCTTCCTCTTTGAACGTTCTTATCTTCGACTTCCTTCCTTCAACTTCATGCAGATTTTCATTTTACTTCAGAAATACCATTATTCCAGTTCTGCTGGAGCTAATCAGATGTCATCTCTTGTTTATTCTGAACAATGTTGAAAAATTCTTTGAGAGAGTCTTTTCTCTAATCCAACGTTGAAAATTGTTGCAATTTCCAGACAGCACAACCTTTTTTTTTTTTTTTCCCTTTGAAAATAATTTTTCCTCTCTCATCTTTCTAATGCAGCTCAATTTTTGACATTTTATTTTCCACTTTTAGATTCTAAAGCTGCACACCATCATCCATATTTGAATGCTGAAGTCAGAGGATGGAAAATGTACAGGTCACACACTAAAAGCAGCTGGTCAAATCCTCATATTTTGAGCAACAGAGGTTGACTTGAGACAGAACAAAAAGTCCAGAGGGCTTTCCAGTCAGATTGTAAGAATTTCAAAGTAGGTCAGACTGGCTGATGGTGTCACATTAAGCCTTGCTCTAAGATGGTTTTAAAAAGAACTCAGGAAAGTCCTTTTCCACTCTTTGTATTCTTTTGAAACTAATAGAAAGGACAGGGCTGTCATTTGAAATAGAAGTGGAATGTCTCAAAAATAATCCTATGAGCCGTGTGACTGCTTGCATGATAAAAAACACTTCTGTGAATCAGAAAAAAGGTGAA